GATAGCATGCTCACCTTCCACTCACATATCAACACCATCACCCGCACTGCTTATTTCCACCTCCGCAATATTACCAGACTTCGCCCTTCCCTCACCCCCCGCACCACTGCTATTCTTGTCCACAGTCTTGTCACATCCCGCCTTGATTACTGCAACGCTCTCCTCTTCGGCCTACCTCAAAAGTCCCTCCATAAAATCCAGCTGGTTCAAAACGCCTGTGCTCGCATCATCACAAAAACATCTTCCCAGCAGCACATCACCCCCGTTCTCCAACAGCTCCACTGGCTTCCTGTTCAACATCGCATCAATTACAAACTGCTCCTATATACAAATATGGCCATCCACAACCTGGCCCCTCCTTACCTGTCTGACCTTCTCCAGGTGCATATCCCCACTCGCTCCCTCAGATCCTCGTCCTCCCTCCACCTGTCAGTGCCCCCTGCCCACCTGAGCACCATGGGAGCTAGAGCCTTCAGTCGCGCTGCTCCAAAGCTTTGGAACAATCTACCTCCGGACCTCCAAAACTGCACATCTCTCTCCACTTTCAAGTCCCGTCTAAAAACACACGTGTTCAGGATTGCCTACAACACTTAGCTCTTCCATTCCCTATGTTTTTATGATTTTATGTCCTGTTTTTTTATATAATATCTCGCTTACAAATTTTTACATTGTATTTTCTTATTGTCTGTACAGTGTCCTTGGGTGGCATGAAAGGCGCTTTTAAATAAAATGCATTATTATTATTATCATTAAATGTATTTTCATTGTCATGGCAACCTACGACTCAATATTGGCGCCAGTTGCACTCCCACCAAATTACTGTTGGAGTAACATTTGTACATGAAAAATTACTTTACACTCTTGAAAACAATCAACAGTAATTTCACCCTTGTTCTGATGTCCTATATAAACCAGACAAATTTAATGTCATTCAAACAGACAATGGAATTTACATATTCTAAAAAATTGGCCTATTCTAGATTGAATATTTGACACCTTAACTTTGAAATATGTCAGATCAGCATCTGATGCTTTCTCCTTAGTTGCCTTTAACTAGAACCACTAACTTCTGTACGGCTCTTTGAACGACGAAAAGCTTATTGAGGCGCTCTCCCTTTCTTCCTAACTTTCGTTCTCCTATCTGTACGGTTACTTTTCGCACCAGTCCGTCATCATCTTGATTTGCTTCAATAACCCTAGCAAGTTTCCATTCGTTGCGAGGGACATCATCCTCTTTGATGATCACAACATCACCAACTTCCAATGTTGCGCCTTGGTGTAAGCCAGGGGTGCCCATTACGTCAATCCTGATCTACCGGTAGATCTAGGACTCGTCCCAATTAGATCCGAAAGGTGTAGAGGAGAAAATGAATAAATAAATAAAAATTTGTGTGTCTTTGTACATGTTAGCAATATATATTTTTTGTGTTAATGCACACTGCACCCTAATCATCCTATCAGTCTCATTTTCCCAAAGAAAGATTTTAAAAATAAAATAAAATGAAGCATATAACCTACGGTGGCGCGTGACTACGTCAGCAAAAGTTGTTAACGTTCAGCAGTCTGCAATTGCAGCTTGTGATCAGAGCTGTTGCGCTATATCTTTGATCGTCATTATTCTCATTCAGAGTTTGCTTCGTGTACTATTCACCGAGGGCACGGGCAAAGAATAGGAATCTAGAGGCCTAAGGGAAGCACTTTAAAACGGTACGTGTGAGCTACGATAGTCAACAGGCTGCAAAAGTGCATCGCTTGGTTCCGTGTTTGGCTTCTCATCATGCCGCGCGTGCGTGTGTGTGTGTGCGCGTGCGTGCGTGCGTGCGTGCGTGTGTGTGTGTGTGTGTGTGTGTGTGTGTGTGTGTGTGTGTGGTTGTGCGCGCGTGAGTGCGCATGCGCGGTAAGGGGCGATCCGGGGAGGTTGGTTGAACGAAAAGTAGATCTTTGGTCCAAAAAGTTTGGGCACCCCTGGTGTAAGCCATCGTTGCCTCAGGGTAAAGTTTGCAAGGTATTCCTTCCTCCACCTGTGCCAGAATTGTTCGGAAAGATATTGAGTTCTTCTCCACAGTTTTTTGGTGTAGAGATCTTCCTGGATAAACTTGCCAGGTGGGGGAAGTGGTACAGAAGACTTCATTGTAATCAAATGATTTGGTGTGAGGGGTTCCAAACTTGTGGGATCACTGATGTTGTCAACAGTTAAGGGCCGGTTATTTACAATGGACATAGCTTCATAAAGGAAAGTCCTTAGGGAAGAGTCATCTAACCTTCCAGCGCTTTGGGCCAAGACAGTGCTTAGTACGCTTCTCACTGTCCTGATTTGACGTTCCCATACTCCGCCAGTGTGACTTGAGTGTGGCGTGTTCATCTGAAAATCACATTGTTTGTCCGCAAGGTAGGAGGCTAATCTTTCTTGATTTAATTCTTTTAGCGCCTTTGCCATCTCATTTCTTGCTCCCACAAAGTTAGTGCCTTGATCAGATCTTATATGTCTAACGGCTCCACGGATAGCTACAAAACATCTCAAGGCATTGATGAAAGCATCTGTTGTCATATCTTCGAGCATTTCAATATGCACTGCCCTGGAGCACAGACACGTGAAGAGCAGGCCATACCTTTTTTGCTCCTTCCGACCCTGTTTGGTGTGGAAGGGGCCAAAGCAGTCCATACCACAGTAAGCGAATGGTGGTGTTGCATCAACACGGTCACTGGGTAAGTCTGCCATCCGCTGTTCCTCTGGTGGTGCGCGAATTCTTCTACATTGTACACACCGTCTGATGTGTTGAGCTACAGCTTTACTTCCACCAACAATCCAAAATCCATTGCTTCGTAACTCATTGAGAGTTTGTCCTTTGCCTTGATGTTGTATTTTGTTGTGATGATGATTAATGATGAGGTTTGTGAGAGCACCGTCTTTAGGGAGTATTACTGGATGTCTTAATTCAAGTGACACAGCTGCTCTTCTAAAGCCCTGTTCACACGGCACACATTTGGTCCGACGCTGCACCGAAATATTTTGTTGCGATGTATTTTACACCGGAGCAAATTTTGTGGAGCGTTCACACGTGCAAAGCCGCTGAGCTGACAACTCCGGCGCAGCGTCGAAGCAGCTTCACTTGCGGTCACACGTGCAATTTCTGCTCCGGACCAAAACGACAGGAATGCGGAAGTAAAACAGGTTCGGGTCGGGCTTCTCTCTCGCAGACTTTTATTTATTTTTCTTTTAATAAATATTATGGTGGACACTATTCTGTCCTTGTTCAGAATAGATCCACTTGTCGGCAGTCGTGGAATAAAGACGTGTTTACAGTCAATCGTGTGTGCTCCTTATGACTGCCACAATATATGTTTTAAAAAATGTATACTAAAACAATGTGCGGATACTAAACTAAGGAATACTTGTTTTAAAACAAACAATTTGGATAAAACAGAGAATGCGCTGTAATTTAATTGCTATTTAACTGCTAAACAGGAG